AGGGAGGCTGAGAGGGTGGAGGAGACTATGAAGAGGGAGATGGATGGTATAAGGGAAGCCGCGGAGGAGACGGAAAACTCCCTTCTGGTGGAGGTTGAGCTGATCAGGAGTGTGGCTGAGACGGCGGAGAGCGAGGTGAAAAGGCTGAAGTCGTTTGGGGAGGAGTTGAAGGAGAGGAACGTCGAGTTGGAGGGGAGAGTGGCTGAGCTGGAGGCTGAGTTGAAGGCCTTTGCTGTGCCTGGAGGCATCCTCAAAGACCTTGGAATCGTGGAGGAGGGTATCACCCCTGAGGCCTTTTATGACGTCCTAGAGGGAAAGGTGGCGGAGTGGCGTTGCATGGAGTCGACTTTGGTGTGCAGAGAGAAGGAGTTGGAGGAGAAGGAGGAGGAGTTGGAGGAGAAGGTGATGGAGGTGAATAAGGAGAGGAGGGAGGTTATTAGGTTGAGGAGCATCCTGGCTGAGCTGGAGATGGAGAAGGAGTCGGAGGTGGAGGAACTACGGGAGGAGGTGGAGGCCCTTGTGGAGGTGCAGGAACGCTTTGAGGGGCTGAGGAAGGATAGGGACGAGGCAGAGGTGGGAGCGTGGTGTGAGGTTACTCGTGTGAAGGGGGAGATGGAGACTCTAGAGGGGGAGTATAGGAGGGTGAGGGAGGAGGGGGAGGCGTTGAAGGTAGCTCTGGGGGCGGCTGAGAGGGAGCTGGCCAAGGCTGGGGAGAGGGTGGCCGGCTTGGCGGCTGAGGTTGATAACATGAAGAAATACAGAGTTCAGAGGGAGTTGTTGGAGGGGGAGGTGGTGCGCCTTAGGGATAGGCTGGAGGTGGAGGTGGACAGAGCTGACTGTGCTGTGAGGGACTTGGTTACGCTGAGTGAGAAGGAGGCGGAGGAGCGGGAGGAGATGGAGGAGATGAGGGACCTGGTCGAGAGGCTTCAAGAGGATCTCGAGAGTGCCACTGATGCTGTGGAAAGAGGGGAGGTGAGGCTGACAGAGAAAAATGAGTTATTGAGAATTGCCACTGAGGAAAAGACGGCGGCTGAGGTGGCCTGTGGGGGTCTTAAGGAGGAGCTGGAGAAGGAGAGGACGGCATTCGCGGAGAGGGAGGAGTCCTTCCGAGATGAACTGAGTCAGGCGGAGAAGAAGGCTGAGGAGGCGAGGGAGCGGGAGAGGGCGCTGAGGGAGGAGTTGGAGGGTGTGAGGGGGAAGGAGGAGAGGCTTAGGGGGGAGAAGGAGAGGTTGGAGGAGATGGTGGCTGAGAAGGAGGCGCGCTTTTCGGGGGAGTTGGTGATGATAAAAGTGGAGTTAAGGGAGTTGAAGGCGGTGGTGGAGGAGAAGGAGAGAGAGCTTGTTGAGAACAGGCAGACTATTACGACCCTTGAGGACCTACGATGCCAGTTGAAGGGGGACTTGAGGGATGCTAAGGGGCAGTGCCAGAAGGCTACAGCGAAGACGAAGGAGTTGGAGGAGGCGACTCGCAGGATGATGGCTGAATGTGAGGACTTGAAGGGGAAGCTGGAGGGGACCAGGAAGGCGGCAGCGGTGGCTGAGAGGGAAATGAGTGAAAAACTGAGAGATGCGGAGAGGAAGGTGGAGGAGGCGGCTGAGAGGGCTAGGGAGGTTGAGGGAAGGTATGAGGCGTTGGAAGGGGAGCGAGGTGGCGTTGTAGCTCGTCTGAAGACTGTGGAGGAGGCTATGGAGGAGAAGGAGAGGACTGTGGAGGAGCTGGAGGGGAAGCTGGCTGAGCAAACTTCCGCGAGGGAGGAGTTGAAGAGGGAGTTGAGCGATCGTGAAGAACGGTTCAAGGAGAAGGTGGAGGAGGTAGAAGGATTGAAGAGGAAGTTGAGGGAACAGTCGTCAGCCCGAGAGAGGCGCGAGGAGGAGTTGAAGAGGCATCTTGACGTGATAGAGGGTCGATGTGAAGAGTTGGGAAGGGCGGTTGAGAGTACTGGAAGGGAGCTTAGGGAGGCAGATGAGGCCCTGGAGGGTACGAAGAGGCAGCTGATGAGTAAGGAGAATGAACTGGTCAGAGAGGCCTGGCAGAGGCAGATGTACGAGAGGGAGGTGGCGGGGTTGAAGGAGGCTCTGGGGGAAGTGGAGAGGAAGTTGGTGATGGAGAGGGAGGAGAAAGGAGAAGTGAAGGCGCGTTTGGGTCGGGTAGTAGTCGTATTCAGGTTTAGTAGTGATGGTGGCAGTTTCTCGTCAGGTTGAAGGGGATTGGGAGGCGGCCAGAGGTGAGCTGGAGGAAGCAGTAGAGGAGCGTGGGAGGATGGCACAGCTGCTGGGGAAGGCTGAGGTGGAGGTGGAGAGGCTCGCCTTTGAGTTGTCCGAGTGCAAGGAGGAGTTGAGGGGGGCTAGGATTGAGCTGGCGACCACCAAAGAGGAGATGGAGAGGCTTGTTCGAGAGACGACGGAGTTGAGGAAGACCCTAGAGGTGGGGGTTCGGGCATTCTAGTGAGGGCCACTGGCCATACTGGTAGCAGGAAGCTGAGGAAGCTGTCGAGAGGTTGAAGGAGCTTGTTAAGGCAGTTGAGGAGGAGCGAGAGCGGGAGAAGGATGGGTAGGGGATGGTGATGGAATTTTGGAAATTCGGAAAGTGCGGGAATTATTGCAGATCGCAGACTGTGCTAATGAGCTAAAATCGCAGGCGTCGAATTTGAATGAAATAATCGTCTCGACAGAAAAGGATAGTAACTGAGAAAATTGAAATTGCGGATTGGGTGTTGAGATGCCCTAGGCTAAAGCCTTTATGGCACGTAGTGGCTATCGTGGGGGTAGACGAAAGTGTTGGGAAATATGTTTGCTCTCCTCAGTTGAGCTTGGGAGTTTTCTCACTATATTATTAGAATCGGATTGAGGTAGAAGTGCACAAAAATCGAGGAAATTTCAACACATTCGTTCAATGTCACCGATTTTCTCTGGGATGAATAATTTCGTGGCGCGTGACGGTCTGTTGGCGACTGGTTATGATGTTGATCATCATCGCAGTCGCCTGAATGCTGAGGAGCTTGCATCGGAGTTGTCGGACGAAAGAGTCCGGCTGGAGAGCGAGCTGACCTTCATTCGAATGGAGCAGCAGAGGCTCGAGGACCGCATGACCGAGTACAGGGCGCAAGTGGAGGAGGTGGAGAAACGCAGTATAGAGAAGGACAATCTCATCACAGACCTCAAGCATGAACTAACGGCGACCTCTACGGTAGGGGGGATGAGGTTGCGATATGTGGAAGGAGTGGTATCAGACTGGACGTGAGACAGTGACGGTATTAGAAAGCACAAGGAGTGAGCTGATGGCGACTACGGCGATGTTGGGGGCTACTAGAAGGGCATTGACGGTGGCTAGGAAGGAGAATGACGGCTTGAGAGGCACGACCAAGAGTGGTGGCTAGGCTCGAGTGTCATGGGGCTGCATGTTTATCTCGTATATCACTACTCATTCCATGATCATCATAGTCCCTTCCTGCTGGCGTTTGGCTGGGGGTCGATCTCGAAATGCCCCAGTAGTTCTTTCCTTCCGTTTAAATGGTACATTATAGTTCCTCCGCACTCCTTCCTGCACTGACTGCTGCTGGAGCAGGACTGTGCATGGCCCTAGGCCTCTCGTTCCTGATGAAGGCGCGGGGAGGACGGCAGCGGTTGGGCTCTCTTCGTATTCAGAAGAGATTGACTGATGGTCGGCAGCTTCTCGTGAGGGAAGGGACGGCAGCTGACTCCCATCAAGTATATACGATGCTCGAGAGGCTGGTTCTGTTCCAGAAGCTCCCGGACGATCTCAATGTGAGTCGCTCGTGGCGTTTGGTGGAATATGGGTTTGCTTCCCTGGGCTGAGCTCAGGTGTTTCGTCTCCCATTATAGAGCTTCACACACGATTTACAATGAAAGTGTACAAAAACTAATAAGGGTTCCCATACCATTCCTCGGAATTTTCGAATTGTCACTAACACATGTAGTTGACCATGCGCATATTTTCCCACACTGCTCGGCTCTCCAGATTTCTTCCTACGACCTTTTGAAAGACTTCCTCGCTGGTCGCTACAGGACGGCCATTGCGGAGGTTGGGGGCAGTCCAGTTGGGTATGCTCTCTATTATCCAGGCTACTCGACGTGGGATGGAAAGTGAGTACTCCTATACTGCGTCGTACGAAGGCTCATATTCTGAGTTGTAATTCCTTGAAATATAAAATCTATTTCAAAAATTTTACTCGAGAAAATATTTGCTGATGCATGGTTTATGGTTGAGGTAGCCAAATGGATATTCCTACACTGGAGGTGTTGTTTTTTACTGGTCATTGTATAGTATGCTATAGTTATGTTTTCGAGTAGAGTGTGGTAGGTCCATTCATCTCGAGGACATCTACGTCGATGAGGAGCTGCGAGGAGAGGGCATCGGTCGTACACTGATAGAGTTCGTGGCCAAGAAGGCAAGTCGAGAGGGGTATGGTAGGATTGACTGGTCCGCTGTGGACTGGAATGTGGGGGCTCACGGTTTCTATGAGGAGATGGGCGCCAAGAAGGAGGCCGAATGGATACCGTTCGTCCTTGATCGTAGCGGTATTGCAGCGTTGGCCACCGCTTCGAGTTGAACGACTTTCGTTCGTTTCCTAGTGTTGAGTTATACTAGGGTATACCAATGAGCTGTGATGAACGTGCAGGTCTCGTGTGGTTGTACTACTATATATAATGTGCTCTTGACTGTGGGGTGGATGAGAACCGCTCAGGAAGAGGTTTTTCTCGCTGATTTCTGTGGTCTCGACCAACTGGTCGTGAGTGTTGGGAGGAAGCCTCTGCCATGATATCGAGTATAGCGATCCTGAGATGGGAACTATACTGGGGCAAGAATGATCGTATGTGAGGGGTCCGTAGTAATTATGTTATCTTATTGGCTGTAAACCCTCGACACATTTGTGTTGGGATTGGAGGCTTCAGTTCGTTCGTGTCCGCTTATGAGTGAAATTGTCTGTTCACCTCGCATGATATGATATCTTCACAGCAGCTTAG